GTGATGTGTTGGGTGCCCTGGCCTAGCTTATAAAGAGGCCATTGCCTCAAAGCTGGTCATGCTGTCAACAAACCCATTCTGGGTACAGTTCCAAGCCATGCTCTATTCTAAGATTTGGAGGCTGGAAGGTACTAGAAAACCCTGCCCTCAAGTAGTTCACCCTGAGAAGGTGGTATCTACCCCACTATTACAGAAGCTGCACAGTGATTAGAAGCCATGGGCAAAAAGACTCTGAAACAAGGTTTTGAAGGACAGACCAGGTTGAATGTGGTATGTTTTATAGGTGCCAGAACTGCAGTGGGACACCACATGTGTATGTGGGCCCTCCAGGGAGCCCAAAGAGAAGGGGAAACAGCAAGAAAGGAAGTCACTCAGGAATGACTTCTGCACCAGTGATGCATGCTAGATTCATCAGAGCCATATGGGCTCCAAGAAAACACTGAAGGCTGTGCTCTAAACAGCCATACTCAGGCCTTGAGCAGGGAAACTAGTGACCTAATGACCTGCACTTAGCTAGAAAGATGAGGCAGGTGAGACCGTTTCCTTGTGTGGAACAGCTGGAGCCCAGATTCACTCACTGGGGCCAAAGCCAAAACTACGTGTCATCCTTGACCTCCCTCACTCCCACGCCTGGCCTGCCCATCCCTGTCAGCCCACCTGGACAAGCAGCCTGAACCCAGGCCACTCACTCCCACACCCCCCCCCCCAGCCGCAGACCAGCTAGCTTTTTCTTGAGGGACCGTGTAGTATTTTAGACGTTTCAGGTCAAATGATCTCTGTCACAGTCAGATTCTGCCACTGCAACCAAAAGTGGCTATGGACAATACATAAATGAGTGTCTGGGCCTAATAAATTGGTGACAAATGCATCCTGACACTGGCCAAGCCTAGGCTCTTTCAGAGGCTTCACAGATCAAGCTGCTGCTTCTTCCCTGACACCCTGCAGTCTGTTCTCAGCACCAGAGCCTGTAAGGTATAAAGCCGTGTACTTAAATTCATCACTGGCTCCCCTCACTCACAGTGGCCCAGTTCCTGCAGTCAGGTCCCTGTCCTCCTAAGACTGACCTCACTTTTCCCACTGTGCCTGTGGTTCACTCCAGGGCAGTCCCAGGGACCTCCAGCTCTGTCTCACCGTGCCCTGTGTGCCCCTGCCCTGTGGGCCTGCACCAGGTGACCTCTGCTTGGGACATTTCCCCCCACCCTGTCCTCAGTTTCCCTCTAGAGGTCTCCCCGATCATCCTATGCAACTGCAACCTTGCCCTCACTCCCAACACTCCAGGTGCCCTAGCTGCTTAATTTCTTCCAAACACTCATCCCCTCTGGAGAGTTCCAGTTTCTTCCTTGCCTGCTCGCTCACCCTGTCCTACCCTGTCCGACCCTGTCCGACCCTGTGCTGTGAGTGAATTGCAAACTCAGAAAGGCAAGCACTGTGTCCTGTTTACTGTTGGATCCCTTGCTCCTGAACTGTACCAGGCCTGTAGGTGGTGATTGGTCAGTATTGGTGGATGGTAAATTGGGGAGGGAGAGAGAGAGGGACAGAGGGAGCCAACAGAGCTTTAATATTCCTTTCTATATGCCAGCCACTGTTCCCTGGGGACATGGGTGAGTCAAACAGGTCAGTTTTTCTGGAGCTCAATGTGGATGCCACAGAGAGACCATAACCACCTAACATGATTGGTGCCCTGAAGACACTATCCAGAGACCTGGGACTGTGTGCAGTAAAGGACTCTGAGTAAGGGATGTTGGCCTGGGAAAAGGGAAAGGAGGAAGCACTGGGCAGCATTGTGTCCCAGACAGGGACCTCATGGACCAGGCAGCTGGTGATACTTTGACCTGCAGACTTCCCAGATCCCCAACAACTGAAAATATTGCTGTCCATTGGATACCTGCTTCCAGTTTGGCTGGGTACAGAATTCCCTTTGTCATCAATTTCCACGCTAGCCAGAGAAGTGGGGCCCAGAAACCCTGGTCCTGTTTCCCAGACAGATGATCAGCCCAGAGCTTCCTCCACCCATTAGCAAACAGCACAAGGAGGAATTAGACTTAGGACATAAATTCTGTCAGAAGGGAAAGTTCTTGGACTTGGCCCTGATTAGAAGGAAGAAATGTTTTGTGCCACATGCAGAATGGACAGCAGAATCTGGGGTGGAAGGTAGTATAGAAGGCTTACTCAGCAGAGCTGGGGAGGGTAATGTATTCGCAGTCCTCTATTATGAGTTATAATTAAAACTTATGGAGATGATGAAAATGTTCTAAAATTGTCTGTGGTAACAATTGCACAACTCCATGAATACACTAAAATTAACCAGTGAGTGGTCCACTTCAATGAGTAGATTGGACAGTGTATGAATGATGTCTCAGTAAGACTTATATTAAAAAAATACCATTCTCAACTAGTCATACCATCACAAAGCTGTCATCCAGCAGGATATAAAGAGCAGATCATCTTATTTGTGTCCCCTTTTGATCATGAAATAATCTGATTTGTGCCACATTTTCCTTAAAGAAGTCCAAATACGAAAAAAAAAAAAAAATTGGAACACACAATGCATTCCAGAATAATTTGGAAACCTTGATGCAATCCAGACTCACCTGGCACCCTTCCTCTTCCCTAAAATTTGCCTTTTTTTTTTTTTTTCATTTCTTTTTGACTTTGAAGAAAAAAACCTCTGTTCTTACTGGTAAAAGAGCCTCATGTTCTCTTTTCTTTCCTGTAAATCATGAGATAAGTTTGCATTTTATACCTTTCCAGAAATCTCTGTTGATTGTGGTCTGACCTCAGAATCATGGCTTCTGGGAAAGAAAGTAGATATTAGAACTACTGCTGTGAGCTTTTGTTGAAATCCTGAAGCATGCTGAGCTGCTCGTGCTGTAGAACTAAGGCAGAGCAGGTGAAAGGTAACTCACAAGGTGACATTCTGGTGCTGCCAGTAAACCAGCAATTTTGTCCACCTCACACCAGTGACGCTAGAAAAGACGACTCCATTATATTTTGGTGGCAACATGCTTTTCGTGTGGTACAAGCTGGTAAAGGTAAAGGATGTCTGTGGGTTGATGCTCACAGCCAGAGCCAACACTACAACTTAATGCCAGCTGCCGTGTACTGAGCAGTCACCCACTGTTAACTGCAGTGCTAAGCACAGTTATACATACTCCTTTCGCTTTATCCTCATAACAGTGCATAAGGTAGGGATTATTCTCCCCATATATACCCAGGAAAACTGAGGCTCAAGCCTCACAGCCCCCAGAGCAGACTGTAGTTTTGTCACACAGACTGTTGGCATCAGAGCCAAGATTTGAACCCATTTCTCTTTGTCACCACAGCCTGCTCTCTTCTGTTATACCTCAGTTTCATTTGTACCCCAGCATTAGCTTCCAAACGAGTGCTCCTTCCTTCCTGGAAGGTGGTTGTGAAAGTAGCCATCTCACAGAGTCAGGAGCAGCCCCATGAGGAGGCACAGCAGTGTGACAAGTGCCATGCCTGCTCCCAGGCCTGGGGCCACCGAGGGGGTGCTCCAGCAGCTCTGTGAGAAGGCAGGATGCATTTCTGCCCAAAGTTGTACTCTCACGATTATTTATTAATTGTGAAAGGGAAGAAAAATATAATAGGGTTTCCAGGAAAGGGATAAAAGTTCAATATGATAAACTCCCGAAAAGCAATCAAAGGCCAAAGAGGGCAGAAAAATAAAGAACAGAGAGAGCAGGAGTAACGATGAATCACAGCGGCAAGGGCGTTAGCAGAGGCCGCTGAAGGGACCGTATTTCACGGCGAGGGGCTGCACGGCTGGTGCTGCTGAGCCATCAGATGTGAGCACATGGTGGTGGCGGGGCACAGGGCACAGCCCCTCAAGGTCCCAGAGCCTGGGGCAAGCTGACGATGACAGGAATAGACCAGTCAGCTGTTTTTCTATGACCGCAGTAAGACTTAGTAATTTTTGTGTATTAATGTATGAATGTAGGAAATTATAAATGATATTATAAATGAAAAAGGCATGGCTACAGACAGAAGAAATTCCCCACAAGCCCCAAACACAGGAGATCACATCATTAGCATTTCAGCTTACTTTCCACCTATGTCTTGTTTTTCCTTTTACTCATTTTTAAAAATTATTTTCAGTTATCCAAAAAACACATGAGTCACTGATGATCAAAGCATGTTACATGCATATTTGAATATGCAACCTCCTGGTCTGCATAATTACTGTGCACTAACTTTAAAAAACTTATGCTTTGAGAACAAAAGAAAGTTAAGACATGATAAAACGTAGGTACTTTTCGACTGTTCCCCTCAGCAGTCACCCTCCAGACACCTTTTCATACCCTCCCCTGCACCCCTGCATCCATGTACCTGTAACCAGTGGGCAAGACAAGGCCCAGCCCCAGCTCTGCAGCTCTAAAATTTCAAACAGCTCTAAAAACCAAATTTTTTTCTCCTTTTTTTTTTTTTTTTTTTTTTTGTGGCCTGAATACATCTGACCATAGGGGTTTAAGATAAGGAGTTAGGAATCTGTAATTGTCGTATGGTTTCAACTTCCTTGTTTAAAAACCATAACAGAATTTGTAACTCTGTACCCACCCCAGAGTTTGCTTTTTCCAGACACCACTGTGAATTAGAAATCTGTTACTGCCTACAGATTGTGTGCATTCTTTTCCATGGCTGTGTCGTATTTTAAAATACAACCACGTGTGTCTCTTTGGCACAGTATTTTGGTGGTCCCAGACTCTCAGTGCCCCAGACAGTACCGCACTGGCCATTCTCAGGCATGCTGTTGTGCACACATGTGCAACCCAAGATGGAAAACTGGGACATGGGCTCTCATTTCTAGCAGTATCACTATTAAATCAGAAGCATTTTCCTGTGCTATAAACTGCCTCTTCTTAAACTTCATTTTTACTGGCTGCACCATAGTCCTTTGTCAGAATATGTCATGCATATGCCTTGCATGTCCCAAGGCAGCCATGAGAACGTACCACAACAATAGACATTTACAGTCTCACGTTTCTGAAGACCACAAGTATGGGGTTGAGGTGTGCGCAGGATTGCTTTCTTCTGGGGGCTGTGAGGCAAGGTCTGCTACAGGCCTCCTGCTCCCGGTAGTTGCTGCAGCCCAATTGAGTTGTACTGGATTTGGGCCCACCCTGATGGCCTCATCTTAACAGATTACATCATTACAACAACGCTGTTTGCAGCTCAGCCCACATTCTGAGATACTAGGGGCAAGAATTTGGGGAGAGGACACAACCCGTAACAATCTGGGTTAGTCAAAATTTTCTTAGTCTATTTATGTTGGCTGCATAAGTTGTTTTTACTACATTATGCATCGTCTTGAAATGATCGTTCCTGTACCGAAATCCTAGATCATGTTTTCATGAATCATTTCTAGAAACCATTTCTTAGGGTCAAAGAGAATGCCCATATTTAAGGCTAAAATAGCACCTTACCAGGCCACTTTCCAGAAACCAGTGAGGGAATGCCCACCTGGCCCACCTGGGCACTGTGACTCCACTCGCCTGGCTCTGTGGCAGTGCTGCCTCGCTCGCAGCTCCAAGGTGAAGGGCCCTGCATATGAGCGCACACTCCCACCACCCTGGGCACAGGCGTTCTTTCCATCAAGCCACGTTTTTGTTCCATTTCTCATTCCTGCCAAAAAGAAAGAGTCCACAGGTTAATAGCAAAATAGAAACCATAGCTCAAAGTGTCTGTTTAGGGCATGTTCTCTTGCAACCACATGGACAAATAGAGATTTCAGAAATACTGGTTCCTCTAGGCATCAGGCATTAAATCAATGGGTAAAATTTCACTCCCGGGGCACCTTGCCAAGCAAGACTATTGGAGAGAAGTTCTCTGATTTAGTTCAGTCTGAAGCCCACTGCAGCTTGCATCATCCTACTGCTGTGAAAGGCAGTCAGATAATGTGCACTCAGCCACTTTGGGGGAAGGGTTAACCAGGGAAGGGTTTCTGATTTTTTAGGATCTCAGAGAAAAGAACTTAAGAAGCCAGAGCTTAATTGCCAGGTTAGATACCAGAGAATGAGGGACAGAAGGATCCCTCTGAAAGCCAGAGGGCTTGTTTGGCGTGCTTGAGAACAAAGGACAGGGCTGGGTGCTGAATCCTCCAGCTGGGAACAGCACTGGTCAGCAGAAGCCTAACTCAGCAGGCGAGAGCTCAGCGCACAGATACCAGAGAGCAGGATGCAAGGAAAGATAAATTTAGCCCGCATTTCAGGGGAAAACATCGATCTCAAATGTAGTGCTGCCTTTTAAAGGAAAGTGGAAACCTTCGGCTGGTCATTTGGGACAATTTCACTTGAATAGATAAAAGCCCAGGAAAAAATGAGCGCTGGTTACCAGTTCACCCTGTTGGCAGGAAGGCAGCAGGTTTCCACATTCTGAGGCATAGTCACCTCCACTCTCACTGTCCCCCAAAAGAGGTGCTGTTTTGACCTCTGGAAAGATCTTAGGTATGTGTTTCTGATCCCACATATTCCTCTTCCAGAGAAATAATGCAGGCAAAGCTCTGAGTTTCCTTGGCTGCTGGCCTGGATCACTGACAGCTGATGGGTTTCACATGTCAGAACAGGGCCACTGCCAGCCCCCTCTACCGTCTAGTAACTGAGAAGAGGACATCTGGTGGCTGAGGATTAAAAAAAAAAAGCAGAGCACCTCTGCCCTTACATGGCATCCTGAGCATTGTCTTACCTGGGCCACGCTGGAGAACCACCACACTCCCAAACAACAAAGCGCCTGTCCTGTGACGTTTCCACCACCTTGCTGGTCCCGTTGATGACAGCATCTTTCACATAGCCTTCCTCTGACACTGCTCCCCTGTTGGGAAGGGGAAGAAAGTCCAGTCTGTCAATATTTGGGGCACTAATCATCTGCATTCGGGCGCCAGAGGTCATTGAAAGGCTGAGACGTTTCCAGGAATTCATGACTCTAAAAACATGAGTCTGACCGTAAAGGATTTCCAGTGAGGGTATGAAAGAAACCCAAATCCCCACTTCACCTCCAATGCTCATCAGCCTATGAGCATTCGCCACTGAGTCTTGAATTCTTAGGAAGAAATAAAGTCCACATACACAGTGATATGGGACCAAGTTAATAATAAATGGGGAGGAAGAAGAACGGATGTTCAATATTTAAACATTTCAGAGCACTCGGTTTGTTTTGCCAGTTACTCCCTCCACCTGCTTCCTAGATGTATTCTGTACAATAGCACTGTCTCTAAGTCTGCCACTGGCATCAGATGCCACTACTTTAGGTAGAGAAAGAACCATAGCGTTTTGGGCAGTCCCATCTCAACCGGATTCCTTCTTCTTTTCTGTTGTTTTTCATAAGAGAAAGATGACAACATAGAAAATAAGATTTTTATGAATCCCAGAACTTTATAACCTCTGAGTTCATGTTCAGAATTGTCTTAATTTCCCCCAGATTTTCTTAAAGCTTGTTTTTCTTGAAGCTGTCTCGCTCATATCTTAATATAAATACTGTACTTTGGTGCTTATCTCTAACAGACTATAAAGGTTTAACAATTAAATATACAGACACATTTAAGAAATGTCTATTGAAATGTACATAGTAGAGATGTTCCTTGAAAGTTGCCTATAATGCAGAATTCTGAGAATCAATTCCTTTTTTCTTCTTGACACATATTATATAAAAGGAAAAGGCATTGTTTTTTGAGGGGGGAGGAAAGAACATTTGGCCCAAGACATAATAAAATCATGCTTAAGGATGCAGCAAACTTTAAGTCTCTTAGTTAAAGGAAATCAATACTTTTATGATGAAATATTAATCATACTAAAAAAATAAGTCAAAACTACAAATGCACACAATAGCCAGGGTGATTTTAATGTTGCAGGCATTAGCTTACATTTGCAAGAAAGCACAAAGAGAACACAGCTCAAAGCATAGCCAGACTGTGAAGCCCCGTGCATGCTGCTTTCTTTTGTGGTTTTTCTGTCCAAAAGTCCGTACCTCTTTTTAAGGGCCACAGCTACATCCAAGCATTTGCTGAAGCTGTGGATTTTTGGAATTAAAAGATGAATCTAAGTGCAAGAGAGGAACCTGCACAAGTATGTACACACACACACACACACACACACACACACACACACACTCTGACAGTGGGGACAAAGGGAAGTGGAGACTCTGGGAAAGCCAGTTGTTGGAATACATAGATGACTGTTCTTCCCTCCCCTTGGGCTATGATTGTTCTCTACTTTTGGCAGGCTGAGCCAAGTGAAGTGGCTCTTTTCATAGGTCAAGTTGATTGAATGCAAGCAGTTTCATAGTTCAACATAATATATCCAGGCCTCTATGAAGGAAATATTAACAAATAGGATAGTCATGGGTATCTTGAATGCACCATAATCTAAAATTTTAAGAATCTAAGTGAAAAATAATAACTCATTTTTCTCATAACCTGTTTTTTATATAGTTCATTTAAACTCAGTTATTAAAGTTATTTAGGAAAGTGCTGTCATGTCTCACTTCACTAAAACGTTCTGTCATAGCAGGTGATACAGGGCAGATTTTTGTTTTGTGTGACATCATTTTCTCAAGAGCTGATCCATTTCCTCTGTCATGTATCCCCATGTCCAAAATGATTTATAAAAATGAAAAACCCCTGTTTTTACTCATTGGGCCCAAGTTCCAGTTCCCCTAAATTCCAAATATCAAAATGGTGAATGTCACTAGAACACACAGACGGTATTACCTTTTACTTCTCACTAGCCCAAGAGGTATAGTCATACCACTTCACACCCAAGAGACACAGGCTCAGGGGAAGCAGGTCCCTCATGGTGACATGCCCACAGGAGTGAGCTGACCTCTGGGTACTCTCCTACTAAAAACCTGTACCCAGAGAAGAAGCTAAGGCTCAAAGCCAAGTATTTGCACTTCTCTGATTTTCTCCCTTAAAGATGAGAAGGTAAAGGTGCAATAGTCTGATTGACTGAATCCCACAGGGCTGGGAGACAAAAACTGACTGAATCCTGTCCACTTTAACAGCCTCAGCTATGAGCCTTGAAGCTTGTTCGGGCTGATATCCATCTCGACCTTTGTGTGGCTCAGCACCTACTCCCTAATTCTATCTGACCCACGTAGTTGCAGATCGTATCTTTGATACTTTTTGTAGCTAATATGTAATAGAACGTCATCATCTGCCACTTTGGCCTAACCCAGGCTTTAGGGACATGGCTCACATGCAGAGGTTAAGCACCCACTGTATAAACCCAAGTCCTGAAAAACTCAAACAAATGGATCAGGAACTGGGTACATAACTGTCTTCCTTGGGAGGGTATGAAGTATGTGTCAGTTATACTTACCTTTTGTAGATAACCAGAGCTAAATTCCCTGGCACCCTGGTACACTGCCATCTTGTAGAATGCACAGGGTGAGCACATGTGTCAGTATCACGTACATCCTGTATGGCCTCTGGCCTGAGGGCAGAGAACAGGGCCACCAAAATGAGAAATTCTCTCAGAGAGCTGGCAATACCTGGCCCAGCAGAAGATCCAGGGCTGACCTTGCAGGGTCATAGCTGAACACTGTCCTGCCCCATTCCTTGGGTCCAGATCATTGATCCCCTATGCCAGGAGCTCCTGGAGCACTGTCTAACCACCTCCTTCTCACTACTCTTTCAGCCCCATTTGCCACTGCAGCACATGGGCAGCCACGGCGGCCACTGCTGAGGTTTACAGTGCTGAAGTTGAGAAACTGCTGTGGAGCTCTTTGCTCACTAATGTACAGGCGGTATGCCACTGGAAGAGGGCAGGGCTGGGCGAGCCAGGGCCTGAGGACCTCGGAAGTAAAGCTCAAGACCTGGCCACCTTACATTTTAAAAGTCAAAGCCAGGTTGTAACATTGTCCCCCTACATGCTAGCCAGAACTCTGAGGCTTGGGAAGGTGCTCATGTCCAAGGCAGCACCCATACCTACAAGCACAGGCAACACCCCAACCTCTAGCAGCAAAAGGAATACTTAGACCATGGGTCTTTCCCATGGGCAGCAGCCCACACTGGCAAACCCTCACCCAAGAACAGAAACCTTTCTAAGGGCACAGTTAGGATGAGATGGTACAGAGAAAAAGCAGGATACTGAAAGACCATTTCTTCTTTTCTGCAGGTTTTCAAGTATAGTCTTTAGAACCCAAGAGGACTTTTCCATGGAAAAGGAGTTATAGGCTAAAAGATTCCGCAAGTTCCCGGCTATTTTGACATGTTATTCCTTTAAAACCAATCATAAATAAACAAAACAAAAGTCTGTATGCATTTTGAGGCACAGCCAGTGAGTGGTCCAGGGATCACCTGTGGTGAGGCTCAGGCAGCAGCCCATAGTGATGGCGGCTTGGATTAGCCATCAGATCCAAGACTTAGCCTCTTCCCTAGGGGCTTGATTTACAGATTTGCTCCTTAGACAGGAAGTAGCTTCTTTAGTTCTAGGACACGGAAAGAAAATCAGAACTCATCACTTGGGGGAAGACCTTAGATGACTCCTGAGCCCAGTTTTGTACACAACAGTAAACATTTTGAACTCACTAAAGTGGGACTGTACAGAGGTTCTCTGCAAATACCGAACCTTTGCCTTCCACTCAAACCTCAGCATCATGGCAGAGAGTAAAGAGACTACAAGGAGACCCCAAAAGTCCCACCACCCCACAGGATTGCTGTTTTGGGGACCCAGCCCACATGTTAGTAGATTCCTTCATTTTAGTGTTAATTTCTAAGAGGAATAGAAGTGCCACTATTGGACTTAAATCTAAACTCTAGACCCTGATGATCTCTAAACAAGAATTGGTAGTGTCTTCCTAAGGTGACTTTTCCTGGGTGACCCCTACACAATGACTCCCATCAGCCTAACCCCCGCCTGGCCATCACTCTCATCCTGCCAGGGGTTGGACTCCAAGACCACTTCTTGAGTCAGATGCAGGTGAGAAGCTGCATCACCCTACATCTTACAAGGGGTATCTGTGCAGAGCCACCAGCAGGCCAAAGCCCTTGTGACTCTGTCACAATCCCAGTCCTCTCTTGCCCAGGGGACCCAGCAGATGGCAGTAGGAGGTGAAAGGACAGAGCTGAGGAAGGAGCCAGCAAGGGAGGAACGAGGCCATGACCACACTCACTGTCTTCGGTTTGTGTGCAGGGTCACAGGGCCAATTGATTTTTTTTACTGTTTCCCAGCATCTCGAGGGGTGTTGAGAAAATATGAACAATGCGTCGCCAGAAACCTGAGCTGCAGCCGCAGAATGAATTTGCTAATGACCAGCAAGCTGAGGGAGCCCATGCCCCGTGGTCCTCACTCATGTCTACATGTCTGGGCTGCTTCCGAGTCGGCTCTGTGTGCTTTCCGGCCTGGAGCAAACATGGAGCAGTGTCGGCTTTTGTCAGGACAGGCAGATCTCCTTCCAGAGCTTCGAGCTTTTCCCTAAGTCAGTGAGAAAGTGGGCTTCTCTGAGGTATATCCACCTGAAAGGTCTTAGACTTGCACCTCAGGCTTGGGTACCAGTCTAGTAAGGAGACCCCAGGGCTCACAGAGACTGGAGACCCCATCTGGATCTAGGACAGAGGATGATGCTGACATGTCACACAGGCTGGCCTGGGGTTGCCTGCTTCTTCTTTTAAAAAACAAAAAAATGTATGGACTGGGGCTGTAACTCAGTGGTGGCACACATACCTCACATGCAAAAGAACGGATTCTATCCCCAATGTTATAAGAAGGGGGCAGAAAAAAAGAAACTTTGAGTTAGAAGATACACATATTAAGCATTTAGGAGGTTTTCCATAGAAATCCAGATACCTCGCTTCTCTTAAGAAATCTTGGCGGCCCTGAGGCTTTGTTCTCATACCCACAGTCAAGAGAGAGTCTCCATTAGCCCCTGCTGTCTCCACATCCCAGAGAAAGAAGATCCCGGGTCCTACACACTGGCTGTTTTGCTAGCAGAAGAGAACTGTTTCTCAGTGTTGAGGTCTCTGTCAAATGAGGAAAAGCAGTATAGTGGCAGGCCAGTCAGCTTGTCACCCTTTGCCATTCCTCAGTTCACTTGCACTCCCGAGCAGGTCTGTGACTCTCAGAAGTGGGATCCACAGAATGCCTGGGAAGAAGGGAAGCCCTTTGCTGACCAGGCTGCCTGTCAACCAGAGCACTTCTTTTGTATTCCCAATAATCAATAATCGAAGCTTCACCATTTAGAGGGAAAGGCTGCCATGGGTGTGATATTCCCAGGAGGAGTCTCCTCCCACCAGGCAGACTTGCCTTCTGCTCTCAGGGACGCACTTCACAAGGGTTAAGGGACACAAACCTTCCAGTGAATGGGGAGGTTCTGTGAGCTCAGCTCAGGACTGCATAGATACACAAATATCCCCCAGCTGGAAATCCTCTGGCTGTCACTTCACTTGGCACCCATCTTTCATTGTTGAATATTGTTTTAGGGGCTTGATGTTTGGTCTCTGTGGGGGTGGCTGTGGTTTTAAGATGTAGGCAGCCTAACTCCTCCCTAGGTGAGTGTGGGGGTGCCTGCAGGGTGGAATAGGGCTATGTTCATCAGGGAGTCCTTGGTGACTCTTGGGCCACCAGGCCTTGCCACATCAGCATTCTCAGAGCTCTGGAAATCCCACAGGCTCAAGTTGCTTTTACCTCTTCCAAAGGGCAAGGGGCTTCTTAACCTGAAATAGTTGTACTTTGGTCATGGGCCCAGTAGCCTCACAGTGATGACAGTGGGCCAGAGGGTGCAAACCTGGGTAGAACAGGTCGTGCTGTAGAGGCCAGGAGGGCCTGCCCACTCTCATGAAGATATCCGGAACTTTGGCTAGCACACTCACACCCCGTTCTCCATCCTGCACACATCCAAGCCCTTTCCTCCTGAGTGTCGTGTGGTCCCCTCTGCTACAGGTCTTGGGCTTGTATATAAGCTCGGTAATCTGTGCAAATCCAAGCAGAAACTTGGTCCCTTCCTGGATTTCACCAAAAGTGCCCATTTACCACACAAGAAAGAGCTAAGAGAGCATTTCCTCAAGATTTCGAGGCTCAGGAGGAGGGTACCTCCCCATGCCTGGCCTTCCCTCCTTCTCTTCGTCCCACCATGCCAAGACTCTCCCAGCAGGTGCAGGGCAACTTTCTCCCCATCAGTCTCTCCCTGGCACCTGGGGGACTCAGCTCACTTCCTTGCATTAGCAAAACTGTTCCACAAATTTTATCAGTTAAGATTAGATTCAACTACATGGAAACCCAAAACAGAACTTCATTCCCCTCTTAGGTAAAAGAAGCCTAGATGTAGATAGTCAAGGGCTGCACAAAGACTTCAGGGACCAAGCTCCTTCCTCCTCTGCTCTGTCATCTGTGATGTGTGATTTATATTTCTAGTGCAGGATGGCTGTTGAAGTCCCAGCCATCATATTCCAGGAAGCAAAATGGAGAAGGATACAGCCTCTTTCCTGTTAAAGAACTTTCTTGGAAAATCCAAAATGCCAGTCTGTATCTGTCCAGTTTGCTATAACCTAGTCAGGTTCTGTAACTACAGATGAATGGGAGAATGAGTACCAGGAGGCAGTTGACACTATCCAAAGCATATCCAAAACCCTCTGACCCCAGAGGATCCCAGGTTCCAGCTGCTAAAAGTACTATATTTGTTGCCCCAACTACCTCGGTATCTTTACGGTTTGGCTTCTATGCCCTATTTGGGCAAGGTGGCTCCCAAGCAGCTGACAAGGCTTCCTGACTGAACAAGGCAAGCTGCTAGGGCAAGAAGGAAGAAAAACCTCTCAGCTGCCTCCTGTGGGAACACCTGCCCTAGCTGGCCGTGAGCATGGGAGGAGCCCGAGGGATGGAGAAGGGTTTGTGAAGATAGAAAGGAGGCAAAAGGGAATTCCAGACCGAGCAACAGGCCAGCAGAGGCAGGAAGCCAGTGATTCTTGTCACAAGGTCTGAAGACCAGCTTAGGCTGCAAGAGGCAGGTGGCTTCCTTTCCACCAGATAGTTCCAGCCTTCGGGGTGACCTTGCTGGGGAAGTCTCTGGGGGTTAGAACCTTCCCGAGGCCCTGGATTTGACCAAGAATGTAAGGCTTAAGACAGTGATGAAATAGGAATGTCTGTGGCGTGATCAGGGCAGGGCAGGAGGGGAATAGACTGGCTCTGCCCAGCCCCCTCCAAGTCCAGCTTATGGGGAGCCCCCACCCCGTTAGGTCTTGGCTTTGCTCTGCTTTTTTCCAATACTAGAGATTAAGCCCAGGGCTTTTGCATTGAGCTACAGCCTCAGCCCTGTTTTACATTTTATTTTGAGATGGAATCTCCATAAGTCACTACATTGCCTGGGCTGGACTCAAACTTTTCATCCTCCTGCCTCAGCCTGCCAGAGCACTGGAATAACAGGTATGTACCACCACCCCCAGTTTAGATCTTGATCTTTTCACTTTTTAAAGAACCAGAACTGCAGATTTGTATGTAAAATCTCCATGTATAGCCGGGTATGGTGGTGCACGCCTGTAATCCCAGCAGTTAGAAGACTAAGGCAGAAGGGGCCGTGAGTTTAAGGCCAGCTTGTGCTACATAGTAAGTCCAAGACCAGCCTGAACTACAGAGTGAGAACCCTGTCTAAAAAAAAAAGCAAAAAAATCTCCCTGTACAAATGCTACTACCTACTGTAAAGATTCCATGTGCCCAGAGCAAACATATATGCAGTTCCCCGACCCCCATGCCAGCTCTGAATCCTGAGTCATGTGATCACCTGGTTGGTTCTTAGCAGTGAAAGCAGAAGACTAGGAAATGGATGGAGGAGAAGGAGGCTTATCCAAGGTCTCAAAGCCCAGTCCAGGTAGAATTTGGGCCTGAATCTGGGTTGCAACTCCACACCCTCTATCAGTGAGCCTAAAATACAGGACTAACCTTTCTAGGGTATTTTTTGTGTTTGACAAATCCTAGGGAGTTGTTCATGAGTTCATCTTCCCAGAAAAACTGGCAGAACTAGGCCAGAGTGTAACAGGAAGACCCCCCACCTGCCTGTGCACACCTCTGGGCCCCCGGAAAATCAGCCATGAGTTTTACCGCCAGTTTGGGCCTGCCTGCCCCTGCAGCATCATGCCTGGCCCACCTCTGGGGAGGTGGGCTGGAGGGAGGTCCTCAGGAACCCAGGGAAAGAAACCTTAGCAGCCAAGAAAGATGCTGGGGCAGGTAGGTCCAGGCTTGAGTCTGTCCAGCCCCTGGCCAATTTGCATTTCCTTCTGCACCCTACCTTGTTTCCCAGGGCTGGGGCTGGGCTCAGGGGCACAGCTCTTGTTCAGCATGCACAGATTCTGGGTTCAATATTCAGCACCTCAAAAAAAAAAAAATAATAACATTCATAGTAGAAATCTTAGAAAATTCAAACAGAAAAATAAAGCCCATTTCAGTAAAGCGACCTTGTTCTGTCATTGCTACAGCCTCCACTTCTCCAGTAGGACAGTACTGCCATGCGCAAGGGCCAAGGAATAGCCTGAGTTTTTCTCAACAGGAACACATGGGACATGCTTTTCCAACCTCTTCTCACTTATTTCTTTGTGAGCATTTCCTTCCACAATTACTCTTCCTCTGTGCTGGCATTCTTTGGTTTGTTTGTTTTTTGCTGTTTGTTTTTTTTCAAGACAAGGTCTTGCCATGCAGTTCAGGCTGGCCTTGAACTACTGATGGTCCTCCTGCCTCAGCCTCACAAGTACGGGGAGTACAGGCATGCACCACCATGCTAGGCTGTGCTAGCATTCTCGTCAGCAGCAAAGAGTCTTTTAGTCTGGCAGTATCAGGGTGCATCTGTCTTACCCCGTTACAGCACATATCTGCTGTCTTAGACACACCTCTACCTCCACATGTGGGTCTGCCTACCATGGTTCCACCACAGACTCCCAGATGTGGAACAAGAAGAAGGTGTGCAAGTCCACACGGCCTTTGGTACACATTTCACAGGCTGCTCTTGAGACAGACCCAGGGAAAGCCAAGAATATTATCTCATGAGAAGATCTCAGGGAGGCCTGTCGCCATACCGTGATCTCTGACTTGTCTGTGTGTTTGCAAGGGGTTGGCAATCAGTGTGGGTTTGACACAAGCCCAGAAAGCCTCTGGCACCTCTGCTGCAGCTGATTTGTCCAGAACTGCTTCACTGGGATAGATCAAGAACTAGAGGCCAGAGCACTCCACTGGGGAAGATCTCTGGTGTCCCTCTGCTATGGCAAACAGACTCCCAGAGTGGTTGCTGTCTCGATTTGGGAAAGAGCCCCTTGAAACTATAGGGTGGTGTCTGGGCACTCAGCTAAAAGGAAAACGTGCCGCTCCTTTCAGGGTCCCAGCACCACCTAACAAGGAGAATGGAAAGGAGGAAGTTGGGGGCTTTAGCAGCAGCAGGGAAGGACAGCTGCATTCATTGCCTCTGCTCAGTTAGACCCTGTAAAGGCGTGAGACCAGAGGTCAGCATATTTTTTTCTACTCAGCTCCCATTACATATAGACGTTATTGTAGTCTGCGAGCTTGACCCCAGCCCAATCCCTAGGTGCAAGACTTTTCTTTCTCGATTTTTCTTTTTCTTTTCTTTCTCCTCCGCCCCCACTCTCTCTCCACTTCCCCCTGCCCCTCCCCCTTCACCCTTGGAATCTAACATTAGTCTCTTGACTGTAATTTTACCATTTCAGCTGCTCCCCACATACCTCATTCCTGATGTGTTACAGTCACAAACAGGTGTGTGACACTGTGGTCATGAACTACTGCTTTACAGACCTGTGTCCTGAGAGAAGAGGTATGTGACCATCTGGGTCACAGCTGTGTCATTTTTGCACTGAGGCACGCAGGGAACAATCCCGACTCTTATGGCACTTGTAGGCCCTGTGTTTGAGCCTCTGATAAATGAGCAGCTTGGGAAAAGCCTCCTGACATGTTGATTTGTTAAGGGGTAATTCATTTTCAAGGCAAGTAAACAGCTTGTAAACTCGGGGGTTTACCGCTTTAAGTGATTAAGAAGTAAGCAGCTATAAAACTTGTTCTGTAAGGCTGTGGCTGATTGCCCCCAAGGAATTTTCCTGAGCAGTGTTTGGATTTGCCAGATGCTTGCCACAGTTCCTCAGATGAGCTCTCTCTCCCACCACACACAGCCTATCACATAATGCTGCTTCCTGAGGACTCTTGGGACAGTGACCCTGCCACTCCCTCCGTAAGGAGACCTCAATGGTAGACAAGGGTAGGAAGCATCTTCTGCTATACAAGAGCCCAGGTTTGAAATTACACACCGTGCTAGGAGACACAGGCCTCATCTGTGTCAACACAGGCTATGTAGCCTCTGGAGCCTGGCTAGGGGTATCAGTAGGGCCCCTGACATTTAAGGAGCTGATCAGTAGCACAAATAGCCCCTCCTTGATGACCCACTGAGTTCTAAAAGGTGAAGTGAGAGGCAGTAAGTCCCATCTTCTAAGAAGGCACAGGAAGCTAAGAGAAATGCAAGGATTTCTCTGGGCCTCTTGGCTGGTAGGTTAACAGATGAGAGCTAAAACCCTAGCCTCCAGCTGGGCATGGTGCCACACATCTGTGGTTGCAATACTCTTGAAAGCTGAGGCAGAAGGATTGCAAGTTTGAGCCCAGCCTGGACAACTTAGTGACTTAGAAGAGCCTGTCTGAAAATAAAAAGGGCTAGGTATGTAGCCCAGCGTGAAGATTCACTCCCAGTACCAAAAAAATAAAATGAAATGAAATAAAAAGAAATCGCTTGTACTGGACTCAGTACTGCCTCTACCTGGGGCCAACAAGGCAAATATTTTAGACTTTGCAGACCATTTTAGGAGTAGAGAGCATGCAGTCTCTGAGGCAACTATTCATCTCTACTTAACATTCTGCCCCGCTTCCTGAGTTCTGAGAAAGAGGAGTGTGGAACCTGGGAGGTCTCCTAGAAGGTGACTGCACAAGGTCCAGGTGGCACAGGGACACAGGCTAAGGTCTGGGACTGGCTGTGGCTCAGGGAGTCACTCAGGAAGTAGCAAGACTTGACAGAATACCGAGAGGTCAGTTCCCCTCTCTGTTACAAGGGCACTTTGCTCCCCCTCTCTTATGTCCCTATCTCTTATGAATCAGGGGTCAGAGGTAGTGGTCCACAGAGTACCATCACCATGGGACCTGTCCAGCTCCTGGGGCCGCAGCAGGAAGCCCATGGTTTGCCTGGGCTCTTGAAATTATTGATGAAGTGTTTGCTCTATGAACATTTTTAGGGACTTGGTGAATAAAATCAGAAGTCTGTCCTCTGGAAAAGCAGAATGTAAAGGGCAGAGGTCGTGAATGCTCTGTGGGAAACCCTGGGTCCTGGAAAAAAGACTGAGATTCGATACAAAGAACACATTTGCTGAGCACTTAGCATATGCCATGCCTGTGCCAGGTGTGCTGTGTACAGAGGGTCATCGTGAGAGCAGGTGACAGTGCGCTCAGCTTACAGCTGGGAAGCAGACTAAGAAACACATCCACATGCCAGTTACTTCCACCATCCATTCTTCCCAAAGAATGTCCCCAAGAACATGGAACTTGTCCTCTCCCCATATGGCCACAGACCACAGATCCTCAAATCACAGAGTGGCTCTGAATATCATTCAACACTTCAAGAACAGTTCTTTTTTGTTTGGTTGGTTTTGATTTTTGAGACAAGGTCCCACTATGCAATTCAGCCTCGAACTCACCATGTAGCTCAGGTTAACCTCTTGAGCTCGTAGAAATCCTCCCACCTCAGCCTCCCAAGTGCCGGGATTGCAGGCCTGGACTACCACACCTGGCTTTGTCATGCGCAGCTCTTGTGCAGAGCTTTTGTTGCTCCTGCACCTTACCTCCTTCAAACAACAAAGGCAGGGCAGGTGTCTGGCAAGGACAGTCCAGGGATTGTCCTGTGGCAGGATGTAGGCACATCAACAGAGGCCCCAAGATTGTGTCTGTAGGGTTCCCAACCCCTCTGTATGAACTGGCAGCATCCCAGAAGTCCCAAGGCTGTGTGTCCCCTCCAAAGTAGTCGGCCCTGCTGAGGCAGCACCAGGCACTCCAGAGTCATGGTCTATGGCCCTGCCCTCAGCGTGCTGCCAGTTTCATCTGTGTCCAGGTCAGTCCTGTGCCAGCTAGGCTCACTGCAGGGAATGGGCCAAGGCTCTCCAGAAGCTAGAGCGGGTTGCTCCGTGTCACCGTGACACTGAAACCCCCATCCAGCCTCAGCAGTGTCTCAGCCTGCCAGTTCTCTCTGCTTAATCACATTTTGTTGTGTTGCAGGCTTTGCCGTGGCCCAGTGTATAAACCAGCATAGTTCACCCTGCCTGCCGTCACCATCACCACCTTCTGCCAGCGGGAGCCCCAGCGGCAGCGGGACCACTAGCCACTGCGACTCAGGGGGCTCATCTTCCACGCCCTCTGCAGCCCAGAGCCCAGCAGGTATTGGCCAAGTGACTCAGAGGCAGGGGGCCCCTGCCCTTCACCCCTTTTCCTCTGCTGTGACCACTGACTCCCAGCTCCTTGTCATGGTGTGTGATGGACACTGCCACCCCATGGACTGTTCCATGTGCCCTTCACAAAGGTATTGCCCACAGTCTGGTTTAGCTCCTTGCACAGGCTGTTCCACTGCAAGACCTCCCCTGCCTGCAGTACTGAAAGGACAGGTGACAGGGGGCCTGGTCTAAGTCCACCTGTCGTTACCACCAGAGCCATAGATGTGTTCTCCCTGTGTAGGCCAGGCTGGCCTCAAAGTTGTAGTGATCCTCCTCACTCAGCCTCCTGAGTGCTGGGATTTCAGGTGAGCACAACAACACACCTAGCCAGTGTCATCTTTAAATGTTCAGTATGGTACAGTCATCATACTCAGGTGCATCCCAGCCCCAAACCCCAGCGTAGGTCTGAGAGTCCTTGTCATTCTAGGCTGTACCCCCAGCTGAGGACCCTGGGTGGTGTTCACTGTCCCTGCAATGTCCTATCTAGAGCCCTCACCCACTATACTTCAAGAGCATCTGACCTGATTGTCGTTAAGATGTGGACTGAGGGATAATGACAAGAGACACAGTGAATGATGGTGTGGCAAGCCAAGTCTCCCTGGACACCTGTACTTTTCTCTCCAATGATTGCAGCCTTTAGGCTCCCAGCAAAGAGTTAAGCCAGCCTGGTGTCCACAGTGGGGTTCAGAGACCTCCTGTTTGTCCCCCAGGAGACACACATGACTGCCATCTACTGTTGCCATCATGAGGCCCAGGCAGGAAGGGCACCCTCAAGCCCCTCACTGGGACCCTTTCTCTGTGCAGGGTTGGGGTAAATGACAATGGGATTACACTCTCTTGAGGGACTTCTGAACCCAATTTAGGGGGGCTGTACATCCGAGCAGTTGTCAGCACTGTTCCCAGGCTTGTAACTGGGAAGTTCACTCCAGGCACAGCTTTCCTGGGCCCATGTGCTCGTGTGCACACACCTTCTGCTTGCATGTGCACATTTCTCTGTGTGTGCACCCAAACACATTTACAAATGCTCTGGGATAAAAGCTCTCTCCTATGTTATTCTGGATACTTTTCCATTTTTAAAGAGGCACAGCCAACAGCCAGTGAACAAATGAGCCATACACTTCTTTGCCACGAACTGCAATTACCAAATCTGACCTCGAAGCACCAGAACCTGATAGCTAGACTTCACAGCTGCACCGCCTCCAGGGCCTCATGTCTGTGGTGTGCGCAGTGATTTTTCTTGGCCTTCCTTAGCGCCTTCATCCCTGCCTCCACTATTCCTGCACTGTGCCAACACGTGTCCTCTCATCTCACAGATCCAGGGGCTGGCAGCCCCGCTGTCAGGTAGCCAGATAGTCCAGTTCACAAGCAGAGTCAGGACTTCCAAGATGTCTGCTGGTGTTTAGTGCAATCCCAGCAGGTGAGCATGCAGCTCCTTACTCTTTATGCCCCATGACAGAAGGAGTCTGAAGTACAGCTGCCTGTCTAATTCTGCAGACACCAAACTAAAACTACTCTCCTCCTGATGAAACACAGCCTAGCAGGCAGTGCATGCTTTAGCCTCACACAGGGAAATGGATGCCTTTGGACACTCTATGGATCCTGCAAGGAGAGAGAGTCAGAGCCTGGGTGCTCCTTCAGTCTCGAGCTATATTTCCAGACCAGCTGTCAGCCACCCAGTCCGTCCAGAACAAAGCCTTTATTCTGTGTCCATGTTCCGTAGAGGAGTGGTTCTGACCAGATGGTTCCAGCAACTGCTTGGTATCCTACTAGACTGCTAGAGGGCAGCCAAGAAAGGAAGGAAGGGCAGGAGCCTTTGTTGAGATGGGCTGCCTTCTCCCAGTGCTTTGTCATTGGCTCTGAACAGTGGCCTAGTGCTTAGCTGCCCACGCACACCCTATTGGTAAGATTTTGCACCCTTCAGAGGCCTGCTACAACCTGACAGAGGTGACATTCTTGGAGGGAACAAGGAGGCCTCTCACCATCGTAGTCCATTCTCCCTAACTGTGCTGCTTAGTCTGGACAGCTGCAGCCCCACCATTGGGACAGTTGTCCTCAGGCCAGTTTCTGAGGGTATAGCCCAAAATCAGAAGCATCCATGACTGTGTGTTCACAGAGCCTCCAGAGTCCAGGAAGCTCTTCAGCTGCCAGGAACTAACACACGCCAGGGGCCACTCTGCCATTGAGGCCACACTTTTCATGGTCAGGTGCTTGGTTGAGAGAGGACCCCAAAGATGCCAGCCACCTAGGAACGAGACAGGCCCAGTGTTCCAGGGTCTGCACCATGGTTTTGAAAACATGAATTGTACAAGGATAGCTTGAAAAATTAGAGATGTTACAAAAGTACTGTTAAATGGGAGGGTGAAAGTCTATAGCACAGTATGGCAACTATGGCACATTTCACAATCACTTACAGTGTATTTCAAATGCAGAACATCGGATTTTGACTATTCCTTACGCAAAGAAACAAGGAATGTACCAGAGGCTAGAAATGTACATTACCTTCATTTGATCATTTCCAGCATATATATTAGGATATCACATGCTACTGAAACATGCATAATTGTCTGTGTCCATTTTAAAGTGTAAAATGTTCCTCAAGAGCTGCAGGTTACCCTCAACTCCAGCAGTTCACATCACCCAGGCACTCTGCAGTCTGCAGGGGCTCCTGCCACCGCCACTGCACCACCTTCCTACTGTATGCACACTGCGCAGCCTCCCAGGAGATGCACTCCCAAATCCAGGCCCACCTAGTGCCTGGTGCTGTGCCTATGAGCACCTTGAAGACCCTCTCACTGGGTCCTGTCATGCCTTATCTCCCTCCTCCATCTGTACAGCTGAAAGCACAGGAACTCACAAAGGTCGTCCCACTTGTCCAAGACAATGCAACCAGCAAAAACAAGAGTCTGAATTTAAAGCATCTCATTGGCAACATCAAAGCCCATAATTCACTATCTAAACCAACCTAGTAGAATTTCTGATGCAAGTCCCAGGTCTTTCTCAGGTAGCTCCAAGAGCTGTCCCAAGAGACCTGTCTGGGCCTTGGCTAGGATCCTGGTGGGAGACAGTCCGTGGAGCACAGCTCTGCAGTTTTGCACCATGGTTCAGGAGCCCAGCTGAAAAGCCACGTTCATAAAGCCCTGGGGGACTGACACAGCCCCAGGCAGTAGAAAGCTGGGCTGTGTGGGCCCCACCCCAAATTAGCAGCAAAGTACACCCCAAAAGGCCACGTCTCCCTTGCTGGCCTATGTGGGGTCAGCCCTGCACCAGAGGATGAAACTGATGATGTTCAGGTACATTACCTGCCTCTGCTCTGGCCAGGTCACGGACCTCATACCTCCTGCTGGGTTTGACAGAGGTCTGTGTTTATCCCAGATACGATGTCTCATCTTCCTGTAGGACATTCGCCCTAGGCTTCCTGGACTTAGAGGCTCAGGCTGTTCCTCTTATGTTTAAAAACCGGAGATCTGATTCACAAGGTCCCTCCATCTGCCTGGTCCTTGCTGGTCTCCCAGTCCTCTTAGTGACCGTCTCTCTGCATCTTCTCTACCTTAGCTTTAGGTGCCCTACACTCATTCTAATTAAGTTATCTTTTTTCTAAGCAAAGAGGCTTGCATGGAGTTCCTGTTGTGCACAGGCATTAGGAGTACCATGTGGCAGAGGCTGGATCTCACATTTCGTCAGGCTGGCCATGGCCCATTAAATAGCTACACGGATGTGTATAGTTTCAAATTATGAGGAAAGGACGATGCAGGAGGGGTCAGCAACCAGCAAAGAACACCTCCGGGAGGCTCTGGTTCTCCCAGATGAGGCCTCACTAGAGAGAAGAGCCAACGAGTAAGGGCTAAATAGGCCAGGGGTCCATGAGGAAAGCAACTTTGGGTCTCTCTTAAGTCCACCAGGCCAGAGATCTTGCTGGGGACATCCTTTTCCCTTTCTCTACGGGCTCCCTGTATGTAAATCTTGCTCTTCTGAGTAAAGATTGGGGCGTCTGTCTTGTAAAAGCTCCCAGCCTGTAGAGGCCATAGTCTCTGGCCCAGAACAGGCACTGGCTCCTTAGCCAGAAGGGAATGGGCTGCTCTACAGGGACACCTTTTGCCACCCTGATTGTGTGGGCAGCACCTGCCTCTGAGTACTCTCTGCACACTGTGCTTCAGATACTCCCACAAGTGGCTCTTGAGTAGGTGATCCAGTTGGGAACCAAGACATACCCCAAACTGCAGAGAAAGCCCAAGCTAAATTCCTTAACAATGCCAAGAACCAGTTTTTTGTCTGTCATCACTACTGGTTGGCTCCCCACCTCCCATGTATGCCTTTATTTTTTCCTTTTTCAGACAGTCTTGACATGTGGTTCAAGCTGGCTTTAAACCCCTTGGTTCAAGTGAACCTCCTGCCTGAGTCCCCACCACCACCATGGCATACGCCACCATGTCCAGTTCCACTGACCTCTAAAGGAGGTACTTTGTGGTGCTCTGTGTCTTGTGGGGAGAAATGGCCACCACTAAGTGTCTGGGAGCCAGTTGTCTTGTCATCCACGCATCTGCATAACTACCCTGGTGGCCTCAGCCTGATCCCTAGTGAGAAGACTGCAGGGTTGGAATCAGCATTTCCCTCTTACATTTTCTGGTTTTGAGAAGCTGAAATTGCAGAGAGCACATGACTGGAAAGGGAAAATGGGCCCCATTGTCTTCTGGGCAGGTCTGCACACTCTCAAAGTGCCACATTACATACACTCAAACACGGTGCAAATGCACACACAAACATACACATTCACATACAGTCTGTGTGTGGGAATCTGATAAGCATACTGTCCCCTCAGATAAGAGCTCTAATCTCCAGATAAGCTAGATTTCACACTGGGAGAGTCTCTCTAAAGAGAAGTCATTTGTTAGAAAATGACATCAGAGTAAAGGTCAGCTTACCCTTTTAAAGATGCATTTCACAGCTCACCAGCCTCAGAGCCTCCAGAGTCTTCCAGAAAGAAACAAGGAGTTGGTTCCTGCTGGTGACACCTCCCCCCTCCCCCCTGTGCTCTCTGTCTACATGGATCACTTTCACCGCACACCCCTCCATTGTGAGGGCCAGACCGCCTGAGAGTGGCCTCCATGTCACTGAACTCCATCACCTCGGTCCTTCTAAGGATAGAAACCCAGAGAAAGGTGTTTGTCTTTTCTCATTTGTTCTGCAGCATTCCTTTCTTTATGGGGGTAATATAGACACCACAGGAAGTTGCCACTGTAGCCAGTTTCCAGCGTGTGGTCCTGTGAAGTTGGAACACATGCATATTGCTGTTCTTGGGACACTACTTAAGCTTTGCTTGTATCTCAAGTTCATCTCTGAGATGACAGCTGCTCCTTTGCAGTGAGATGCTACTGACACCAACACCTGATCAGCACCCGCCCTCAGCTCCCCGTCCACAGCCCTTCCTGCTGTGGTTCCTTCTTGAGTTTCCAAGGTGCAGATCACCGGGTCACGCCAAGGGGTCCAGGGCACCTCAAGAATCCTGTGCTTTCCCAGAAATCACCAAGCAAGGCATCACCAGCATCACCATCTGACCTCAGCTGAGGTCAGAAATCTGCTGGGTTTGCTTAGCTGGTTTGGCTCTGAGCCTCCAATCACACAACTGTCCCTCCTCACACTGCCTTGGGGAGGCAGGGATTTTGTTTCTCACCTGTAGGTCCTAGCTGATACCTATCGGCAAGTCCGTTCTTCTGTCCACCAAGGCCGTGTGCTGCCAATGACTCCAAACCTTTCCTTCCTCACTACAATTTTCTCGTCTTTAACCCAGTGAAATCGTATGAGTGACTGATCTGGTTCTCAGGCCCTCCAACCCTACCTCCTCATGAGGAGGGTGGCGTGGGAGTGTCCTGTCTGCAGGGGGGTGCTCCCTGTACCGCAGCCCAGAGCCCGCCCCGGGGCACAGCCCTGCCCTTTGCTCTCGTCGATGCTGATGCTTAGCGTCCGTCTCTGCTGTGTCCCTGTCTCTACATCACCTTTGCTGTTCCATTGTTAAAGGCTTTCTATGATCTGTCATTGTGTTTTCCCTCTAGTCAGGAGTGGCAGGAAAGGACGCCGGCGAGTATTCAGCCTGTCGGAGGCCGACAGTCATGGTGGCCACTGGGTTTAGTGCTTCGAACGGCAGCTGCCACGGCAACTCACGTACAATCAATTCAGGCAGGTCTCCTCACAGAGCCCCGCGGGCCCACCACACTCCTGTCACCTCGGCAGGGTCTGCAGGAGAATCGGGGGCAGGCTGGGCCTGTGAGGACTCCAGGCTGCGGGAGAGCGAAGCCCTGAAGTTGGTGATTCCCTCTGCTTTCCCCAAAGCCGGCCCTCCTCGTTTCCTGACCCCCATCCACCTGCACCCTGCATCCCTCAGCCCTCTACCCTCAGCCACATCACCGCCCTGTGCATCCCAGCTTTGCCATACCCAGCCCTGCGCTGGAGATGGTGTTTCCCAATGTGTCCCCATCGGTTTCTATGGTTTAGACCATAGGAGTGGGCAGTTGTTGGCTGGAGAATTGAGAACTTACAAAACACAGCCAAGAAGGTATTCCTTTCTTCAGCCTCTTGCCTAGCCCAAAGATAAGTGGCAGATTCATTTACATTCCAGCCAGAGGCCAAAGTCATGCCCCATCACATACCAACAAGCAGCCCCATCGCTCCCTTTCATGTTGAGTGCTCCCACTGCATGTCACTGGTGAGGCTGCCCAGTGGCCTGGCTCACTCTGCCAGGGCCTACCACTGCCACCTTCTCCTGTGACCTTTCTTTTGTGGTGTCTGAGTGTCCCTCGTGGGCAGTCCTGCTTGTCAGTAGACGGCCTCTCTCCTGCTGTTTTGTTTCCCTGCTTTTGAGCTTCACCACAGCGTGGTGTGCGTGGCTCTCCTTCCCCTCCTGTCTCCCACCCTGCCTCTCCCAGGCCAAGCACAGCATGTCGGGCTGTCCTTGGAAACCTCCCCCTCCCCACTTGACACAGACCAGTTGAGGCCCTGCCCCAAAGCTGCAGGTCTGTTTCTGAGGGTACCAGCCAGGGAGGAGGGGGTCCCCTGCCTCGGAGCCTCATAGGCTGGAGTCCCGGGAGGCAAGACCACCCTGGTGGGCATGCGGACGTGCCAGGTTTCCCACTACTGGTTCTTTCCCAAGGAAGAAACCAGTTTTGTGTGTGTGGTAGTATTTATTAGTGGGTTTGCTTTTTAAAAGAGGTTTGACTGCAGCCTTCCTGTACCCTCAATTATTCTTTTCATCAGAAACCCTAGCAGGGGTCAGGGAAAGGTTTGCCAGCTCCCAGATGTTGCCTGCAGGTGTAGGCTTGAGTAAAGAGGGAACTCTCCCATGGAAGCTTTAGAAACCATGAAGGAAATGGTTTTGCCCCTCCATCTCCAGATGGCAGGACAGTGCCACTTGGAGAATTAGTCATTTCCAAACCACCTCATCAGCGCTGCTCACCTGTAGGTCCCAAAGTGCCTTTGTAGTGAGGAAGCCCAAGCCCATTTTATAGCGAGTATGAAGGCCGTGCGTGGGAGCAGGCAAGCCCTGCTGAAGGTCAAACACAAGCCAGAGCTGAAGCAGCCCTGTGCCACAGGCATCCTTACACACGGAGCAAAGCCACTGAAATTCAGAGGAACCAGAATTCTCAAGGAGCATGAACTTCCCTTTGTGGGTTCAGACCGCACCTCGGTCACTTTTTCCATCCATGCTCACTGGTGCCTACGGCCACCTCCAAGTGAGGGCAGACCCAAAGCTCAAGCGGTGCTTTGCTCGGGACCTTCTCTCGCTCCTCCCTCCCTGTCTAAGAGAGGCCCAGCTGGATCTGGAGCACTTGCCTAGCATGCTCAAGGCCCGGTTCAATCCTACCACTGTGGGGGACGGGGGCACAGACAGGCAGACAGACCAGCAGGCGAGCCTTAGGAAGAAATTAAGGGGATCTTCCAGACCTCATCTGGCTGAGTCTTGTGGGAAGAAATGTAATGTGTGTGTTGGGAGACCGGGTGTGTGCTTATGCTTTCTCTTGGGGACTCTCTTCCTCTCATCATACTCTATGCTGCATGGTTTTATTTTCATTATTTGCTTTTACCATTCTTTTGCTGCGCATTCAGTTTGCCTTTATGTTTTATTTTGGCTTAAAAGAGAAGAAAAACTAACTCAACTGGAATCACATTGAGCAAAGCACATCCCTCAAGAGGCCCTAGGGCCTCTTTATCCCAAGATCTATACAAATAAGAATTTGCCTCCCAATGCCTTGCTCTTAGAGCCTCTGCAGTCCTGCAGGAGGGTCTCCACCATGACCTCTGCTTGCTCTGGTGTCTGGCTGGGCAACTCATTATCTGTCTGCAATCTAATCGTGGATTTTGAAGAGCTCCTCCCAGAAAAGAAATGGCCACTTTGAAAATACCTACCTTGGGTAGAGCCTGGTGGCTTCCATGGCCCCTGTGGGGCAGCTCAGGGTGGTGGTAGTGGCCTGGGCAGACCCAGCCCCTTGATGACTGTTAACTCAGCACTTGGACCAGAGGAGACAAACCACAGTCCAAGATTTGTAAAAACTTGGAAAGTTCTAGTGACATTCTTTTTGAGAGTGTGGTTTTGTGGCAGTGGACTCCCTTTTGGGGGAAAGTCACCACTGTAGAGTCTGGAGTTATAGGCACACCTGAGCTCATTTACTCCCTATTCATGTCTTTGTCATAATGCAGGTGGTGCCAGACTCACCCGTGCACACAGCCTGCCTGGGCCAGTCTCTGCTCCCAGGAGCTGAGCTCTCTTAATGCACACAGTGACTTGGCATGAGCCCCCGGATTTTCCATGGTTCCACAAGTCCCAGAACCCTGGGCCCTGACACATCTTCCCCAGACCGGTAGGACTGGAGGTAGCGCTTCTGTGACCCCAGGAGTGAGTGGAGCCAGCCATCTCCCACCCACGTTTCCCTGGCCCTGGTTCAGGATGGGAGCAGAGTTTGGCAGCCTGAGCATGGGATTGCAAGGACTGAGTCTGTCCCTGCCTTTTTCTCTACCACCTAGATGCCCCCACAACTGCAGAACAGCCTCGGCCTCACATTCCTGACCAGTTAGAGATTGTCAATGAAATGGAAGCAGAAGCCAGGCCCAGCAAGAACTCAGCCAGAGGCGCAGAGGTGGAGACAGCACACTTGTCCCCCAGCCTCCTCCCCGCGCAGCAGCCCACCATCTCCTTGCTCTATGAGGACACTGCTGATACGCTGAGCGTCGAGTCACTGACCCTGGTCCCTCCGGTCGATCCCCACAGCCTCCGCACCCTCACTGGCCACCCCCAGCCTCCCACACCAGCCACAGCATGCCCAGAGACCCTGGACGAGGAGGCTGCCTGTGCGGAGCCTGCAGGCCCCACCGAGCACTGAGTGGGCACCGGGCCTCCCCTTGTGCATGCGGCCCGCTGGTAGGGACCCAGTGCAGTTGATGGCAAGACAAACCAGGAGCACCTACACTTCTCTGTGGCCCCAGAAACCATCGTGGATACCTGTCCCCATGCTCCTGAGCATCAGAAAGACGACTGTGTTCCATTTGAATCCTCTTTCACTTTTACCTCTTTAAGAACAGTCTGGGGCCCATAGGAACAGCCCAGTGCATGCAGATGACATCCATGGCTGCCTCAGGGAGGAGCTGAAGGAGTCCAGCAGCCCAGGTGGCAGGACCCACCAGCACCCGCCTCCTTTCCTTCAGGCAGTTCCTGTCACTGTGTGCACAGAATTGGACAAGGTCACTTTGGGTAGCAAATTGTAGAAAAGCAAACTTAGATCAGTATCTCTTTTGGCTATTTATTTCTGATTTGGGCAGCTGATAAAAAGCATTTATTTAAAAAGCATCTATTTGGAGGAAAAAAAAACCCTCAACCCCAAGGTTTGACGTCATGTGTAATGATACTGTTGGTTTCATTTTCGTTTTCCCTTGAATTTGTCAATGTTTGTCTTAGAGTTCTTGGTGTCGCTTTCTCTGTTTTCTTAAATGACTCTTATTTCTCTGTTACTAACTCTGCAAACCTGTGGAATGATAACTCACCTTCCTGACAAGTTTAGATTCCTTTGAAACAGCGGAGGAGATACACATGCTCTCAGGTCACGTGGAGTGCAAGCACCGGAAGCTGCTCCACTCTTGCTTTACTTAACGAGGTCTGAATGTTACAGTGTGCCGTGCCCTGCTCAGTGCTCACACCACACAGATGCATCCGGCTTACCTGCACAATACCATCTCTGTTTATCTGAGAAGCCACTGGGGACCATGCGGACTCCAGACCCAGAGACAAGGAGAGAAGGTGCCAGAAGGCATCCTCGGTATCTCCCCTGCAGGCCTGTACACCCCAAGAGCATCCTGGCTTTAAGGAAGGCACCAGAGCACAGAGCATGGCCCTCTTTCCTCTCTTCCCTTGGTCTTCACTCTTTGCCATACTCTGCAGGTGACTCAGACAGATCCCACCCAGCTCCAAGATGTTCGTTTTACCTCTGGCCAAACCCACTGAGTGACCCCTCCCCTCTGAGATACAGGAGACCCTGTACAGCATCCTTGCAGATGTGCCTACCACAAATACCCACACAGTGCCAGTGGCCAGCAAACCTGGCTATTTGGCCTCAGGAGACATGCCGTGATCTGGCCATCCACCTGTTAGAGGAACTTGCTCCTCACCAGCCCTGCTCAGCCAGCTTCCCACCAGGAGCTGCGTGGTACTGTGGGAACAGGTCTGTCCAGTCAGGCGGGAAGAGAGACATGCTCCCTGGGGAGAAACCTGTGTCAGCCAGGCGGAGACCATGTGTTCTGACCCGCCTGTTAGAGGGAAGCAGGTGCACATGGAGCAGAAGCCCCAGAGCCCTGCCCTGGTTTTGGAATGACCTTTGGCACAGCAGAGATGAGACAAGGCAGTGACTGTCCTGCCCAGCTGTGTGACTGGGAGAATCAAGACCTGTGCAGGTGAGCCAGCCTTCTCGGGTCTACCAACTGCTGCCTGGAATCAGTGGCTCCAGCTAGCCCGTGTGGTAGAGGTGGGAGCTGGCCCTTTGGGCTCTGATAAAGGACCCCTCTTACCCAGGTCTTGACCATCTTGGCGATAACGCACACAGGCATGTGTTCAGGAGCCATCCCCCCAAACCTAACAACTGGGGCCCTCCCACACCTGCCAATCCAGACAGACCTAGGCAGGACCAGCACTCTGGGAAAGCCTATTGCTGGAGCCACAGCTCCTACCCAGGTACTGGACAGGTATCTGGGGTCAGCCCTCAAACACCTACCCATCCACCATCTTCAAGTCCTACAGAGAACACTGCAGCCTTCCAGGTCACTTTCCCCAAGTCCACCCTTAGGCCCTTTGGGCTTGCTTAGCAGCATTGGCCACCAAATCCTCAAAACCCTCTGCTTTGAAAGTTGCACATCCCTTTCTGGTTGGAGGTTTGGGCACCAAGAGCACCCCAGGAAGGTAAACAGGAAAAAGTGAGCTCCTTCAGACAAGTGAGGGCAGCCACAGTGCCAGAGAAGGACTAGGAGCAGGCCCCTGTGCCATGCTGTCCTGTCTGTCTGCTCTCTGTGTCACCACCACCATCCAGATGACTGCATTCCAGGCATGGGTGACAGAAACACCTCCTAAAGACAGGCATTGAGTTTCTGTGTGGCTTCCAAGATGCACTGTTTTTAAAAAGGCACTGGTGAACCAATTCTGATCTTTTCTAGATGCAATAAATATGAAACATATAATGTAGTGATGTTACTTTCGGGCATAACCTGTAAGGTTGTCTTCTGTTCCTGTGAGCTGAAAATATGTAAATAGTTCTTGTCCCAGCGAGGAGCGGGGGTTGGGAAATCTCGGCGCTTCTGGCCATTCTAGGGAAGTACCTGCTTTTGTCCTCGTGACTCATGCTTCGTGGGTGCTGAGCACGAGGGCGGAAATAAAACTGGAAACTTCCTTGTAAATTTAATTTGACAATAAAAGAGGAAAAACCTTACCAAGAATGTGACACATTGCTCCTCAGTGCTATAGCAGGAGGCTGTGACTTGGCAAAGTGAAGGTGCTCAGCCATTAATCCATGTCCTGGTGCAGTTGCCTGGGGCAGGATGTAGCTGGAGCTCCTCCCCACACCACCCAGGTTCCCAGGAGGTTGGTGGGACAGGTCAGGTCCAGCCCAGTCATTCAGGGAGAGCCCCACCTCTGCCGGGTGCAGGGAGCAGCATGGTCCTGTCCTCCTGTTCTGCATCTCTCCCCTACTGAACAGGTAGCACCCACTCCGAGCTTCCAGGTCTGCATCTGTGGAATGGGACACCAGTGCAACCTCAGAAACAGGCATAGTGAGTGATTGTTGGTGCAGCCTGCTGCTCAGGTAAGGAGAGTGCAGATGGCTTCCCTCTGTCACAGCATCAGGTGATGTGTTGCAGTAGGCACAAATCTAGGACATGCCCACACGTACCAGCATGAATGCTGGCAACCCCAGGAAACAGTGTCACAGGTTCTCTAAAACCTCTGATACTGTAGCTTAAAGCTGGACCAGAAATGGCTGGGAACTTGTATACCTTGCAAGAGAATTTAAAAGAGCATGCAGGGTACCCCCCTCAGGCCGATGGTACAGGCGATGACCAGACTTCCCAGCTTCACACTGGCAGCCAACAGGGATCCTTCCCCACCTGGCCCAGGACCGTTTCCAGTCAGTTTCCTGGCAGTCTCGCCGTGAGTGCCAGCAGGCCCGGGGACCCTTGGCTTGGGGTTGGAGCTCACTCTGCCCTGGGACATGACTGCCACAGGCTGTATCTGCAGGGTGCCTGACATTGGGGCCAGAAGCCCACCTATAGCCTCCTCCACCCTCATAGCAACCCTGCCTTGGGCATGCGGACATTCACTCAATGTAGAAAAAAGCTAGCTAAGATTCTGGGGAGAAAGTGAAAGAAGGTCTTGGGGTGGACAAAACCAGTGGGCAGAGTTATTGGGAGCTCATTCACCTCCCTACCTACTCCAGGTCTCCAGACAAGGGCCAGCCCTGGGCCTGGGGAGACCAAGGAAGGGGTGGAGGGCAGCAGGTGTCTGCAAGGGCACCCTCAGTCAGCCTCCCCTAACACAGGCAGGAACAGCCCAGCCTTGCACAGGACCGCGTGTGCAAGCTTAGACCCCCACACTCCCTATGCTGCCCCACACTGACCTGACCCCTGGACTGCTGTTACATCTGCCGCTGGGCTGTGACAAGAAAATAAAGCAGCCAGCATGAGTGGCTTTCGTTGAAATCACCTGAAACTCTCACTCAAAATCCAGAGCCACAGAGAAGACCCTCTGTACCTTGGCACAGCCTTGGACACACAGTAGATGCTTAGTAATGATGGCTTTTTTTTTCCCCTCCTCTGCCCTTCCAGGTCTTAGAGAAAAGCTGTCTTTGGGAGGCAGGGGTGCCTGGTTTAAATTCCTGTGGGGCCCCTTGCTGTTACACAGTCTAGGCCAGCTTCCCCCGTGTGCCTGGGTTTGCTGACTGTGAGGAGAGGACAGGAGCAGCCGGTGCCAGCCTGGAGGTTGTTGGAACTCGGGGATGTGTATAGGAGAGTCCTTAACTCAGAACGGGTGGCCTGGGGTTTGACATAAGACCTGCTCAGGGACAGTTTCCTCCAACCACTATGGTTTGGGGTCTGAGTGTCCTCAACAGACCATGTATTCAAGGCCGGTTGGTCAGCCTGGTGCTGTCGGGAGGTGGCAGAATCTTAGGAAGCTGGACCAAGCAGGAAGCCTTAGGTCACTAGGCTGTGCCATTAAAGTGGACCCACCCCCTTCCTGTTCCTCTCTCTCTCCCTTTCTTGGACATGAAGTGAATGGCTTTGTTTACCACGTCCTCCTGCCATGATGTGTCACCACAGGCCCAAAGCAGTGAAGCTGATAGGCCATGGACCACAGCCACCGAGACTGAGCCAAAAGAAACCTTTTTTCTTTTTAATCTGATTGGAGTGTTTGCTGCAATAACAGAAAACTGATGAACACACCAGCCCTGGTTCAAACCCAGAACTTGCCCATGGAGCATTTAGTGACTGAGAGTCACTTTACCTAAGTCTCTGGTTCTTTGGAGCATGTTTTATGCCCACTGCACTCGCTCTACAAGCAACTGACTATGGGTCAGTGGATGGTGCTGTTTCCCAGGGGCTGGCAGGATCCCATCTGGAAACCAGGAGGCAAGCTCTGCCCTGCTGTATCCTGAGAGCACCAAGCATGAGGGGAAGGTGAGGGCAGATGGTGGCATCCCCAGTGCCAGTAACCTCAAGTTCCGCACAAGAAGGGAAGACTGACTCCCTGCCAGCAACTGCTGGAAACCCCCTTCCCCTCCTACCCTCCTTCTTCCTGGCATTTCAGGATGGTGGGAAAAAACCCTCACAGTCTAAAGTGTTTTTCTCCAAAGGCAGATGGTTCTGAATCCCTGGACACGTGTGGGGCTTCCCAAGAATTCACTTAAGGGTGTTCCTCTACCCTTGGCCAGCTCCAGCTGGGTAAGTAGGGCCCCCTGGCACAAGGTGCTGCCCCTTAGCCCCACCCCATGCCACCTGTTGCCAGATCACCTGATTGCCTTTGCAAGAGCACCTGTGCTCACCCATATGCACATCTGCCCAACACCTGAGCGGTCACTTTTTTGTTTGTTGTTTTTGTTTCAAGACAGGATCTCAATATGTAGTTCAGTCTAGTCTTAAATTTACTACATAGCCCAGGCTGGCCTCAAACTCATGGTGATCCTCCTGCCTTAGTCTCCTAGGGACTGGGATTACAGATGTGTACCACCACCCCCTGATGACAGTCACTTTTGACTCACATTTTACATTTAAGTTATCTAAGAGGGAGGCTTCGGGGAACAAAGCCAGGAGCACTCGCTGCATTCCTTTCCAAGGCTGCATTATTTCCCAAGCAATAATCTTTACCAACAGGGACTTCACAAGCCAGTAACTTCTGACGCTGCTCCAGAGGCCAGCAGTGCAGTCAGAGGCACAGACTGCTAGCGGCTGGGAGAGAATTCCCGCATGCCTCTCTCCAGCTTCTGCTGCTGCGGTGATCCCTGGCATTCCAGAGGGTGCTCTGGGATGGGGCTCCCGGCTTCACTGTGTCACAGCAGCTACCCATTTCCTTCTTTGCATCCCTCGGGTGAGTCACTCATGTCTATCTCCATCTCACATGGCCTCTTGCCTCTATCTCTTATGTCCAGTCTACCTCTCCTCTCTCCTAAGACACCAGCTCTTGGGCTCGGGGTCTCCCTTGATCTTGGAGAATCTCATTTCAAATCCTTCATGATAACCACAAAGACTCTATTTCCAAATAAAGCCACATTCACAGGTGCCTGAACCCAGCACATGACTGTGTCTTTTCAGGAGGGTCCCCATTCAACTCATGACACTTGCCAGAAATCAAAGATACCATAAAAACAAACACAGCCAGGCAAACCCATATAATTAAGTTGTACCAAGCTCCACTCCTGCCTTGCCACAGGCTGGCCTGGGCTTGCCTTCCCTGTCAAAAGGGGAAATTAGCAGTTCAGTATCCTGCTAGACCTTGAGACTTTCTGTTTGATGGGATCAGAAGGGCTGGCAGGAATAAAACAGACCACTGTCAGGACTGGACTAAGTCTGCACTCTTATGCCCCTAGAAATCATCCTGAGGCCCTAAGGTGGGTGGTGTTGCAATGGCAGGTAGATTACAGGTCATGGTGTGTTTGGAACCAGGCTGTTTCTCTTTGAACTTCCTTCTCAGCAGATTTACCCCAGGCAGCGACTGTATCTTATTTGACTGGGTCTCCTGGCACAGGGTCTGACATGTGGCTGAGTGAACGAATTCCATCCGTGCCTCCTCCTCTGACCCTGGCCTTTGGCCTGCCCATCTCTGTTCCTGCTGGTATCTTCCAGGTCTTACCAAGACCAGCCACCAACCTCTGAAAGAGCAGACTAGGACCTGACTGACAAGGGCACAAGGGTTGGAGAGTTTTCCTTTGCCACCATCAAAACTTCTGTGTCCCCCAGAAACCTCCAGATGCCTTGGCTGACACAGCTACTGCTGGTACCTCAGATTCATGGCACCTGCATGGGGCAGGGGCTGGAATTTTATAAGGTCCCCAGCTTATTCCACAGGGAAGCTATGGTGGTTCATTTTAGATGTCATCTTGGCAAGGCCAGGGATGCCCAGAGAACTGGTAAAATACTACTTCCTGGTGTGCCTGTGAGGGCACCTCTGGAAGAGATCAGAGTCAGCAGACTAAATAACTGTAGTGGGCCCTGTCCAGTTCATTGAGGCCGGCAGACCCAAACAGTGCTGAGGGAGGGCAGATTTGCTGTCTGCTTGAGCTGGGTCAGGGGCACTTTGGTTCTCAGACCTCTGAACTTGGACTAGAATAACACTACCATCTCTCCTGGGCCTTGGGCTTGCAGACAGCAAATCTTGGGGCTGCTTGGCCTCCATAATCCTATAAACCAATTCCCATTAAACTGTCTGGTTGTGCAGCTATTGGTTCTGTTTCTCAGGAGAATTCTCACTGATGCAACAGCAGAGAGAGGCTCACCTCTGCAGCCCACTCCACGAGCCCTTGGCCCTGGCCTGGAAGACCCCTAGCCAGACCCCCCAACACCTCAGCACCTGCCTTTCTTCCCCTCAAGCCTCTTCCCACTTCCTCCTCTGGCCACAGCGTTGGCGCCACATTCCAGAGGGTGCTCTGAAGTAGGGCTCCCTGCTTTGCTGTGTCACAGAAGTCACCCATTTCCTTCCTGACATTTGTCATGCCTCAAAGGGCTCTTGTTTCTTTGATTGTTTGCCACATTCTAAGTCCCACTATTTTCTTTGGGGGAGTTCTGACACCAGGGAAGGAGAGGACAGCATACAAGGGGTTTATCGGGGAGGTGGCCCCAGAAAACAGGAGTGGGAGCCAGGAGAGAAGAATGGGGCCCTGAGACAGCTCAGGCTGTGTCACTGCCAGGCACTTCTGTGGGCACTTGCACTGCAGCACTACTGGGAACCCTCC